ATATATATATTACTTTATGGGAGAGATGTATCCAAGAGGGGAAATCTATGTATCCGAGACGGGATAGATGTATCCGAAAGGGAATAAGAATATATCCGAGAGGGGATTATAATATCTTAAATTGTGAATTTATGTAATATTTTCAACAAAATATGTGAAATTATATTGGGCCCGTATCACGGGCCTTAAATTATCTAGTCTTTTTAGAAAATGATTGTGGTTGACGTGAAATGTGTGGAAAATGATAAATGGATTACAGGTAATTTTGAAAATGACGTCAAATTGATTATAATTTTAAAATACTATTATGTATCTTACCACTAACTAAGAATTTATTATTATATATTGAGAAAAATATATTTAGATATATATATTTTTGCTATCCGATACACAAAAATAGGGAGAGAGGTGAGCGAGATGGGAGAAAGGTGAGCGAGTTTCCTATGTATCCCAGATACATGCAAATCACACACTAGATACATGTATCTGCGTGTATCTAGTGTGATTCGCAGGGATCTAAGACACCAGATACATAGGAGATTGGCGAGTGAAATGGGAGAGAGGCGAGCGAGATTTGTTATGTATCCCAGATATATATGCGAATCCACTTAGATGCAATGTATCTAGAACAACTCACATCTAATTAATTTTGACCCCATGTATCTTCAGATACATTTATCTGGATGTATCTGAACGTATCTGGACACACCAAAATTCGATAAGATATGTAATATTATAAACTAGACTATATCTAAACAATTAACTCCTAATCTATTGAGATTTATGTAAGTTTCCCTTCTGAATGAGTCTCTTGGATGACATTTGATTATGTTTTATTATGAAATGTTTTTATTAATTTTTATTTTTAAAATAAAATAAAATATTTAAAAACTAGAATGGTGTGTTGTCCATAAAATAAATTAGAGTTATTTTTAATTTTTGTGATTAATTTAAAGTAAAAAAGTGATTTTTTTATTTTTGGAATTCAAAAAAAATAAAATATTAACTTCAAGTTGAATTGAAATTTTATTTTACTTTTTAAAAATGACAACATGTTGAATTATATAATTAAAATTTTAATAACAAATTATTAAAATTAATTCTTGCAAAATTAAAAATATCACATGAATTAAAACGAAATAAAGTTAGGTGGGAACTCTATATTCACATGGCTTTACGCCTTTACCATTTTGAGCATTTATTGCCAATGAATTACTGCCACAACAAATTGGTTGGCCCTTATTCAGATAAAGTTTAGATTCTCTACAACTCTATAAATTTATTGGTAAATTATATTTAAATAATTGATAATATGAGTTGTTTAAATTAAGTACTTGAATATACTATAAAGTGTACTTTTACATGTATTTTCAAGTATCTAATTACGTATCAAATTGATCATATAAATAATTACAACTTATTAAGAGTAATGCTTGCCATATAATTTAAGAAAGTGACATATCAAGTGATTAAATTATTCATTTAATAGATCGTTGAGAATAAACATAAAATTGAAATGTCTAATAGAAATATTTTATCATGTGTTTAGATACTCAATTAAATTATGTCGTAATTTGAATGTTATTACAAGTTAAATTACACCAATTGTCTTACATTCTTAGGGTCGTTTGGTACGCAAATTAAATTATAAACATAAAATTGAAGTGTCTAATAGAAACACTTTATCATGTGTTAAGATACTCAATTAAAATATGTCGTAGTTCGAATGCTATTACAAGGTAAATTACATCGATTCAAGAAGTGTGTATGCTAGATTAAGTATATAACAAGAGAAATTTAAATCACATTATAAAAGGAGGGTTGAACAGATACTACATGATGTTTGCAAAAATATTATTCGTCTTTACCTAAATATCATGAAAGTTACTAAATTATTATAGTTTGTTTATACTAAAATAATCATAAACCATTATTTGTAACGAGAAAAAGCCTGTCAAATTTATCCAAGGAATGTGAGAGAGTTATTGAAAGGCTAAAAAATAGATATTTATATGATATTTAGTCAAAGTTGAGTGACTTTAAGAAACTTTTTGGTTACAGAAATTATTTAGCTACTTTCTTTACTCACTTTAATAAACAAAGCACATTGATTTTTTTTTGTTATAAAAAGTAATTAAATAATTTAGTGCTATAAAGTTAAAAAAAGTTAATTAGAGTCATGTTTTTTAGGAACGAGGCCCCTCCTTCTTGTGTTGTAAAAGAGAAGTGTATATCTTTATCTTTCTGTGAGATTCGAACGATTTATTTTTTATTTTCTAAAAAAAGTAAATTCATATTTATCAAATTCAACCTAAATCCACATTTACTAATTCAGTCAAAACACACGAAAATTGTTCCACATTTTGCCACAACACTAGAGCGCATTAGTGACTATGGGTGCTCACGATTAATTATATATAATTTTGTTCATTGATATACACGAATCTACATCAAACGCCGTGGGTGTTCGAGCACCCATAACCTTGCATGTGGGTCTACTGCTGACTCGAGATCATTGAAATATCTTGTAGCCTTCTACTAAAAATGCTAAAACTAATTTTGTTTCAATTCAAATAATATAATAATTTTTAAATTAAAACTTCGAATAGTAATTACCATTGGCTTATAATTGTTTCAAGTAAGCCCATCGTAGAGACACCCCATCTAGTCCTTATACATTTGAAAAGACAACTCTTTGTGAAGTGTGTATATTACTACTTAGTAGAAGAGGCTACAAGTAAGTAGGACTTAGTCAACATGTTTGCTTGTATATTTAGGGCAATTTAGTAATTTTATGTTTTTTTTTTTAATTTTTTAATTTTATTACTTTAAATAAATATAAATTTATGTAAAAAAATATTGTAAATCATAATAATTAATAGCCTTAAAATATTTAAAAAATATATATATTAAAAAAATTGTTAACTTTCAAAATTTCATCTATATCACATAAATTGGGAGAAATATATATTATGTAAAATACATAAAATATACTATAAATCATAATAATTAACAAGTTAAATATAAAAAAGAACTTATAAGAAAATTGGTTGACTTTTGAAATTTCATTTGTATCACATAAATCAGGATAAAGGGATTGGTTGACTTTTGAAATTTCATTTGTATCACATAAATCAAGATAAAGGGAATAATATATGTTATATGAAAATTACGTAAAAAGACCGTAAATCACAATATATATGGGGTCCACTTGTTGTTTCCTTCATACGCGTGTTGTTTGATGCTGCCTTATCTTTCGAGTTAGGTATTATATTTATACATTGGCACACCTTGAAGCTCTCATTTCATTTTCTTATGTACTTCCTATTTAATTGTGGAGTATATATTATATTATAATAACTTATAATAGGGAGAGGGAGTTTCAAGAGTTACGGTCTTTAAAGTTATTTATCTTATTTTTTTATTTCATATATTTAAAAATTATATAAACAATATCAAAGTATTCATTATAATTAACAATTTAAAATATTTCAAAACAAAACAAATTTTATTGATTCTTAAATTTTATCAATGTCACAAAAATGAGACAGAAAAAATAACTTGTGTTGTTTGAAAATGGTGTAAAAAGTATTGTAATTCACTTTAAAATTCTATGTGTCACATAAATAGAGACAAAAAAAAAATACATTATTTGAAAATTGTGCAAAAATTACTATAAATCATAAGAATTAACTACTTAAAATATTTAGAATACAAATAACGAGTATGATTGTTTCTCAAAATTTCATTAGTGCCACATAAATGGAACAGAGAGAATAAAATAATTTTATTTAAAAATACATAAGATGTACTATAAGTCACAATAATTAACAACTAAAAACATTTATATATTAAATTAAAATTTAATTGATTCTCTAAATTATATAGGTGTCACATAAATTAAAACAAATACATAATACGGGTCCTATTTCTAGTATATGCGTCACTTGGATGCAATGCATCTAGAACAAATCACACCTAATTAATTTTGACCACATGTATCCTCAGATACATTTATCTGGATGTATCTAAACGTATTTGGACACATCAAAATTCGATAAGATATGTAATATTATAAACTAGACTATATCTAAACAATTAACTAGAGTAGTGAGATTTATATAAGTTTCCCTTCTGAATGAGTCTCTTGGATGACATATGATTATGTTTTATTATGAAATGTTTTTATTAATTTTTATTTTTAAAATAAAAAATATTTAAAAACTAGAATGGTGTGTTGTCCATAAAATAAATTAGAGTTATTTTTAATTTTTGTGATTAATTTAAAGTAAAAAAGTGAAAATATTATTTTTAGAATTCAAAAAAAATAATATTAACTTCAAGTTGAATTCGAAATTTTATTTTACTTTTTAAAAATGACAACATGTTGAATTATATAATTAAAATTTTAATAACAAATTATTAAAATTAATTCTTGCAAAATTAAAAATATCACGAATTAAAACAAAATAAACGTGGGAATCTATATTTACATGGCTTTACGCCTTTACCATTATAAGCATTTATTGCCAATTAATTACTGCCACAACAAATTGGTTGGCCCTTATTCAGATAAAGTTTAGATTCTCTACAACTCTATAAATTTATTGGTAAATTATATTTAAATAATTGATAATATGAGTTGTTTAAATTAAGTACTTGAATATACTATAAAGTGTACTTTTACATGTATTTTCAAGTATCTAATTACGTATCAAATTGATCATATAAATATGTTATTTTAAATTAATTACAACTTATTAAGAGTAATGCTTACCATATAATTTAAGGAAGTGACATATCAAGTGATTAACTTATTCATCTAATAGACCGTTGAGAATAAACATAAAATTGAAGTGTCTAATAGAAACATTTTATCATGTGTTTAGATATTTAATTAAAATATGTCGTAATTCAAATGTTATTACAAGTTAAATTACACCAATTGTCTTACATTCTTAGGGTCGTTTGGTGCGTACATTAAATTATAGTCTCTTTATGAAATATCTCATCTTATCCTACCTACCAAACTGAGCCCTTTAATGCATATAAAGAGAACCTTAACATTTGTGAATTAAGAATCAAACAATTGAATAATACTTTCTCTAACATTTGTGTGTGTGTGTGTGAGAAAGAGTATAGCTATGGATGATAGTTCAATATCAAATAGTCTTAAAAGTCCCATGTTACCTCCAACATCATTGGAGACAAACAAATGGTGGATTATTATTATTAATAAGTTAATTGATGTTGAAGAAGCCAAGAATCAAATATTGTTCTCTTTCCCAATGATTGTTGTTACTAGTTGTTTCTACTTCATTAATCTTGTCTCTGTCATGTTTGCTGGTCATCTTGGACAACTTGAACTTGCTGCCTCAAATCTTGCTAATTCATGGGCTATGGTGTCTGGTTTAGCTTTTATGGTATGTATATCTTAATTCTTTTCGACGAAATTGTAAGGGGATTTAAAAATATAAGATTGTTATAGTTGAAATTTGAACTTATGACTTAATGTAAAAAAAAATAAATAAAAATTTAACCCCTTTTGTATGCATTAGAATTCGCCTATCAAGAGCGGAGTTAGAGGTTCAATTACAGATTCAACAGAATTCAATAGCTCTAGCTTAAATTATGAACTTTTATTTGAATATTCACTTATTAATATGTATTCATTTTGTTTGTATGTTGACACTGCTTACGAAAAATCCTGGCGTAGATTGGCCTAAGTGGTGCACTGGAGACATTATGTGGTCAAGGTTATGGAGCAAAAATGTACAGAATGTTGGGAATACATCTTCAAACATCATGTATCATATCATTCTTATTTTCTATAATAATTGCTATCATATGGTGGAATTCAGATACAATTCTGATTTTACTTCATCAAGATCCTGACATAGCAAAAAAGGCAGGGGAGTTCTTGAAGTTATTAATTCCTGGATTGTTTGCATATGGTTTTTTACAAAATGTTTTGAGATTTGTTCAAGCACAATCAATTGTGTTGCCTCTTGTTGTGTGTTCAGTGGGATGTTTAGTTATACATATTGGTATTGCTTATGGTTTGGTTCATTGGACAAGTCTTGGTTTTAATGGAGCACCATTAGCTGCTTCGATTTCGATTTGGATATCCGTCCTCACGTTGGGTGTATACGTGCTTTTTTCCGAGAGGTTTAGTCATATATGGAGGGATGGTTTCTCATTCGAGCCGTTTCATTATGTCCTTATGAACTTGAAGTTGGCATTGCCCTCTGCAGCCATGGTATGGTAAGTTATAACTTCATGATACAACTCTTAATTTTGTTATTCTAGTTGTTATATAGTTTTGGACAATTCTCTCATCTCTGTGAGCTAGTTTTTGGGGTTGAGTTGACTCAGTGTCTATTTCTTTACGTGGTATTAGAGTCGGACTAAATCTCAATTCTTGGTTTACCTGATGTTGGATCTCCATGTTATGTTGTCCTATCCACGCTCCACGTGTCCAATCCTAAGCACAATATAATGTTATTGTCCTAGAAAGCAGAGTCTAGTTCCCCTCCCTTCAATCAAAAGAATTCTATTTTTGCAGATCATGGCTTGGTTTGATCTTGTGTTTTCTCGTTTCGAACCCATAATTTTCTAATTTGATGTTTACAGTTTGGAGTACTGGGCTTTTGAGCTTCTTGTGTTATTAGCTGGTATAATGCCAAACTCAGAAACAACTACTTCTCTAATTGCAATGAGGTAATTAAGCTTAATCTTTCCTTTAAACCACTCTTAAAGGGTAAAATTTAGTGTAGTTGACACTAATTGTTTTGGTTTGTGACGTTTTTTAGTGTAAATACTGAAGCCATTGCCTACACTATCTCTTATGGTCTGAGTGCAGCTGCAAGGTAATGTTTTTTTTCGAGATTCGCTTTGTTAGCATCAGCATGACACCTGATTATTTCGATTATTGTGCAGCACTAGGGTGGCAAATGAGTTAGGAGGTGGAAATATTGACAAAGCTAAGCATGCTATGGGTGTTACTCTCAAGCTATCTGTTCTTCTTGCTCTTATAGTTGATTTGGTTCTATGTTTTGGTC